GATGAGAGAAATTGGATAGGAGTGGAGGTGTATCGTGGCCGAGGGATGTGATAGCTGAGAAGGAAGAAAAGACCTATTGTTGAAGAGATCGATGTGTGGGGTGTAGATGAGTGCAAGAAATCTTTTTTTTTTTTTTTTTGATGCTTGAGGTTGAGATCCCTAGACATGAGACACTAGACATACTTGCAGGGTTAACATGTAGGCTTCATTTCACCTGACAACACAGTTAAAGCTAACCCCAGGTGTGTAGAGAGGAGCAAGCAAGGACATTTCTGTATCATTGCAATGTTTTGTTAATAGTTATTGTCATAAAGTAGTGATATGTACATTCCGCCTTGACTTGTACTGAAAATGGTGTTCATGCTGTACCTTGAATGCAGTGTTTCTGACTGAAGGTACTTCATCATGACTACTTGTACTAGAGCTTGTCTGAAATGGTTATACCTGTTACAGTAATACAGTACGAGATGTGTACATCAACATGTGTCTCCTACAAATAAAGACTTGTTTTTTTTGGTTTTTTTTGATACAATGTGTTCTGTGGTTCAATTCGTAATACCAGCTCCGTAGTCCTGTGGTTTTAGCAGCATTTTTTTTTTTGGCAAGATTTTTTTTTTTATTTCGCCCTCTCGCATTAGTTTTGGGGTCTCCAGAGGATGTCATCCATAAAATTAAATCAGTGTGGCCTAATGCTTTATAATCGAGGGTCAAATCACGTGATGTTGCTTGATGGCCTGAGATTACTCGCTATTATGATATACCACTTTGCTGGGATATGCAAATGGGCGTATATGTAGAAAAGGTGAAATTCGTCGAGAATTGTCGGCCATCCTATGCCTTATATTCCACCAGTCAGCATAAGTGTTATGTTAATCAGCTATACAGAATTGTGGATTTATGTTCGTGGTGATTGGTGTGTATGGGGGAGGGGTGCCAAGTATTTGACGATAAAACATTGACATCACTTCAGTTACAGTCCATCTGTCAAAACAGTAGTGAAAATGATTACAGGGAGTTTAAATTTAAAAATGAGCTTTCACTAAATACTTCGACAAACGAACATCACGTGTCAAACCTTACGGTGATAACATGAAACACGAAAACGTATGAATGGCACGGTATTTTCGATTAATCCGAGTCGGGGACATTAGAGTACTTGTTACAGTTAATTCGGGATCGTATCATTGCTTTATTTGCTGAGCATTGCATCGTGGGACAACCCTAATCTCACTTCAAACGTATTGACTAAGTGTTATCACGAAACATTATAACCACTCATCACCGTTGTCCCAAACCGTATAGTGTGCACTGTGACAACTGTTATCTCGCTAACATATATCTCTTAAAAGAAAATATGGATTTTTCCCCATTTGACATATATATGTATAGCCACAGTTACTACTTTTTAGTAACCGCGGTATAACTAACCATATTCATTTTCGACTCGTCCATTTCATTGTGTAATTCCCAGACCAGTTGTCACGCGTTTCTCGGTGAGGCATCATTTTCCCATTGTGTATTTAGTCTGATGACGATGCCGCCAACAAGTACACGGAATAAGAGCCCATATTACGCGTCCAATTCACAAAAAATCGAACAACATACGGTGTACACGTACATGTACTGATTTGTTTCATAGAACGAGTACTTATAGGTGCGTTTAGACATGGAGGTAGAAAAGTTTCTACCTCCATGGTTTAGATAAAGGTAGTGTTGCAATATCCTCGGGGCGGACATCCGGGCATTTTCTACCGCCTGGCAACCCTCGCGGGGAAAACAAAGACCAAAAACTCACAGAAAACGGTACTTTGCGATGGTTGTTGAGAGTCCCCTGAACAGAGTGACAAGATTAGCCCTACGTGTGTAACATATATTAATTTGGTTGTTCAGGATTACTTCAAAGTTGAGTTTGTGCTGTTTTCTCGAGTTTTCACCGGCTCCACCGGCGTTCCACAGCAGCGCGCACAAAGCCCGTAGAAATACGAGGATAGCAATCTTTAAATTTGCGCCCTCTACGGACAAAATGCTTCTGTTACTCCAAAATGACGTTAATGGTGAAGGGAATGTCTTTCAGATTGACCTCTGTGTTAACGTTCGTCATCTAGAATGTAGTCTAATATCTCAATAATAGAGTATTAATTGATAAACGACTACAGATGAAAACGATACCGACGATTTGAAATACCTCGTTTACTCATCGATGTATGCGTCGAGATATATCCATAAATTTAATAGAATAAACTGTGGCGCCCTTTATATAAATTTACCTAAAAATAATGTCATTGTCCTATATACATTATTTAAAACACATGCTTCTTTAACCGCAATTCAAATATAATAAGTTGCTTCAATATTTCTCTAAAGTTGACTATTTTTGGTATATTTTTGTCACCATGGCAACAATCAGACTCACTGTACCTGGAAACATTTATAGGCTCCACATAGTTGTTTCATCGTCAAGTCAAATCCAATGCATCGTATTATATCTTATCCAGTCAGTGAAGGAATCCGCGTCGTAGAGAATAAGATATTGGGCAGACAATGTGGATAATATCATACTGTCAACTTCAGTTTATTGTGGTGACCCACGTGCAATAAAAACAAAATATGTATTAAAAAGTTAACATGACAATAATTTTATTATTTCAATGTACATATATACTATACAAATATATAAGTTCTTTGTGAAACACGATGAATGTAGCATGAGATAGACATGTCGAGCATAGCAACATATTGATATATAAGTTTTTATGTAATAACTGACCGTCTATGCACAAGATGTACGGTAAATATTCTTATTACAATAATTATATAGTATTACAAAATAGTAAATTGATCTTACATACATACAAAATAGTATAATTCTGAGTTATAGTGCAATCATTTGCGATATTTACTGACAGTGGTGTTGTTTACATCAACCGCCAATCCTCGCGGGTCTCTCGTAGTCAGAGTGGGACATTCCACTATTATATAACTGATTCTTTGTTTCTTTATTAATTACATTAAGAGAAACTGAACACACATATATCAGAATGATATGTATAGTAGACACCCACTTAACACTGTATATTTAGTTTGGTTTCACGAAAGGCGTGATTTTTGTCACCCACAATTTTGAAACCATGAAGTTGAATTACAGATATTCGTGACAGTGAGGTCTGACACTGATATCCCTAGGGTATTTGTGCTTCCGTGGTTGGTAGTAAAGTTGCCCATACATACATACTTAAAGCGGGGGAGTCGTTACCTGCGCATGCGTCAGATGGTCATAGCATGTCATTGTTTACAAACAAGCGTCTACCCATGAGCCTTTGCGTGCCTTTTAGCGTGTTTTGTTATCGTCGCTTGGGACTCAATTCCCGCGCGTGCGCTGGTGATGACCCTCCCGCTTTAAGACAGAAGATTATAAATAAATAAACGCTGCTTGGACTGATAAGTATGATATATTGAAGATAATATTTGGTAATCGTAGTCCTAACTAACTATTAAAAATAGCTAGACGTTTCGAGCAATGGCTCTTTATCGATAGCATAGAAGCAAGTGTGATAACGTACAGGTAGAACATAGGAACGTAAGAACGCGCATGAACTATAAGTTAGAATCACAAAAAATTCCACAGTAGAACAAATAACGCGCCTTAGGTAGTGAGCTCAACAAATGAGTTGAACTGTTTG